AGACTTAATGCTACTTGGGAAAAGAGAAGACATTATACTTCTGCTACCTTTTTTAGCAAAAGATTCTGCTGCTCAGCCTCCTGTTTATCTGGTCCTCCAATCTTGGCCATTGCCCACCCCAACTCCCCAGTCAATGAGAACCCCAGCGGAGTGGACTTATTTTCAAGATTGGGTTGCAGAGAAAACACATTCCCCATGGTAGAGATTGTGATTTGGAATATCTCAGATCTTGTTCCCAGACTTAGCATTTGGAAGATATTCTCAGTGGAGTTAGAATCCAAAATTTTCATAAGAAAAGAAATGACCTGCTCTAGCCAAATTCTCTCTCATCATTGATGTTTCTCTCTCTCCCTTCCTCTCTGAAATCAATAAAAATATATTTTTAAAAAAGAAAAGAAATGACCTCAGGGAGCTGGAAGAAGAGAACAGTACTATTTACTGAATATACATGCTAGAAAACACTGATGTAAATACACACTGGGAAAGCACCTGTGGACCTCACTTGGGCTGGTGAGCAAGGAAGATGTCAAAGACTCAGGTCACCTAAGTTCACCTTCCCTCTGTTGGGGGTTTCCAGATGAGCTCCCTGATGTGTCACGGCCTTTGACCAAGTTGCCTAGATCAGTTTGCTCAAGTACCAGGCACTGACTCTAAGACTGCACCAAGAATAGCTCTTGGGAATGAGCTAGTCTTCAATCCTCTCATGAAACCCTCTATCTTTTTCCATTTTCTTCTTTGGAAAAGAGCTGTTTATGGTTACTCTGCATATCTGTTTTTTTCTAACTTAAGGCTTGTACTTTGCCTTGACCTGTCCCCATTTTCTAAGCCCTACTCGACCTCGGGGCATTTCTGGATGCATCCTTCCTCCCTCATCCTCACTTCTATTCTCAGTTTCATCATTTCAGCTTTCCAAGACGACTGATCCAGATTATCTTTCGGCACCATCCTCCAGCCCAGAGCCAGAGTTCAATGTCACTAAGCCAAACCTTGGGCTGGGTCAGATGGTCCCCATGTCAGTGTGGCTGGGGAGACAGCACCAGGTGATGAAAACCTGGTCACACCCCACCTGGCCGGGCTGACAGGGCTAGGATGAATCAGTCTACGGAGAACACCTCTGCCTTGGGAATAAAAGTGGGCAAAGTAAATCATGTTCTTTGAAAGGCACACAACTTTTGCAGAAGTTTCCTAGATAGGCAATTCTCCAAAGCTATCATTTGCATATGTGTTCATAGCATAGCACTTTGGAGTGTTTGGAGATTTTGTTTTTTTGTAGTACTGATAGACTCCACTGGAAACACAGTGTCAAGCGATAACAGCCATTTTTTTATGAGATGCAGTTGTTCTCAACCTCATAATGCCGCGACCCTTTAATACAGTTCCTCATGTTGTGGTGACCCCCAATTTCATTGTTACAAATGGAACATAATTAAAGCATAGTGATTAATCACAAAAAATATGTAATTATATATGTGTTTTCCAATGGTTTTAGGTGACCCCTGTGAAAGGGTTGTTCGACCCCAAAGGGGTCGCGACCACAAGTTGAGAACCACTGGGAGGGATGCTGTTCTGAGTGATGGGGTATTTTTGTTTGATGGAATTGTTAATGTAAAAACATTCAAACCTGTAAAGAATTTTTGCGAGTTTATTTGAGCCAAACTGTGGACAATTGCTGGGAAGCAGAATCTCACCAGATTGGGATAATGCTCCAGAGAATGGCAGTTTTTCATCTTGTTTTATACATCTCAATCAAAAGAGGAGATGTAAATGGGTTACAGTGGGGCCTTGACTTACGAGTTTAATTTGTTCCGTGATGGAGCTTGTAACTCAAATTACTCGTATGCCAAATCAGAAAGTGAACGAGTGAGACATGTGATGCTGGGCCGATGTTGTGGCGTTCACTGTGATGTTCGCTGCGCCAACTAGCGGTGGGGTATCTGAAGCTGGCTCGTAACCTGAATTTTAGCTCGCAACTCAAAGCAAAAAATCGGCCGAGAGACGGCTTGTATCTCGAAAAACTTGTTAGTCGGGACACTCATAAGTCAAGGCCCCACTGTACATGAAATCCATTGGTGCTAGAATAGAAAGGCAGGAGAAAGCAAAGTGAGGAAACCTCTGGGATTGGATAAAAAGTAAAATGATAAACACTTCTTTTTACTTGGGTGGGTACAGGACAGTTAACCGTCATCAATTAACACGATGACAGTAATAATGAAGGAATTTATGCTCTCAGTCTTGGTGCCAGGAACTTGTGGTTGTGCCCTGAGGGATCCAGAAAAAGGGAAGTTGCAAGTTAACCTGACATTTCACTGATATGTTTGTTGTGGGAGATGCAAAAAGACAATAGGCTCAGTTAAGGTAAAGATTGACCTTTGTCAGGGAAGATACTGGCCTAGGACATGACTCTCTGCTGCTTTTAGTCCAAGTTTTAATTTCAGACCATCCTTTGTGTATACTTGAGGTCTTTGAGTTTGCAAAATTGTCATGCAGGCCTTCCCTTTTTTTCGTCCTCAGAATAAAAAAAGCTTGGTTGCAACAACAGTGTTTATGCTCTTAACACAGGCAGTTGCAACAAATAAAATCCTCATAGATTGTTGTGGATTAAGGGTGACAGCCTTTTGTGAACTGTAGAGTGTAGTGCACAATACTGTTCACAGTGTCCAGCGGAGAGAGGATGGGGCTGTGTTTAGCTATTGCTGCAGTTTAGGCAGGAGAACAGTCGTAAAGTCTGGCTTGATTTAGGCTAGACAGCCTATGGGATAGTTATCTGAGGCTCACTCCAGGTGAACCAGTGAACAAGGGATCTTTGGCAGCTCATTCAGAGAGCAAAAATCTTCAAACTGGCTACATGGACTTTGGGGGACAAAAAAATTCTTTTTTTAAAAAAAAATATTTTTTAAAAATATATTTTATTGATTTTTTACAGAGAGGAAGGAAGAGGGATAGAGAGTTAGAAACATCTATGAGAGAGAAACATAGATCAGCTGCCTCCTGCACACTCCCTACTGGGGATGTGCCCAAAACCAAGGTACATGCCTTTGACCGGTTTGGCTCAGTGTCCTTTTACATTAGGCAGTCCCACTAATGGGGAGACCAGTTAGGTTTTCTGCAGATTGTCCCATCCGTCCATCCATCCATCCATCCATCCATCCATGCATCCATTTTTCCAGCCATCCATTTGTCCAGCCATCCAGCAATTCAATTAAAATGTACAAAGAAACTCCTAGGTTATCAGGATCATGATCCATGATAAGGCATTCTTACTCTGAAAGGTGATGATAGCAATACTCTATTTTAAT